TCTGTGTGTGTGTGTGTCTCTCTCTCTCTGTGTGTGTGTGTCTCTGTGTCTCTCTCTCTCTCAGTCTGTGTGTGTGTGTGTACCACGCTGCGTCCCCCGCGGTCGGTGTGTCTGAGTGTGAGGGTGAAGAGTCCGGCTCGGTTCGTGTTCATGCTGAGCTGCAGTCGCAGAGAATCCGAGCGCACCGGCAGCGGTCGCACCGTCACGCGCACCGACATCAGCACCGTGCAGCATCGCGCGCTCGCAGACATGTCTCCGGCAGAACCGAATCCCCGCGGACTCACATCATCTCCATCTTCACGAGCAACAGTCAGCGACCGACTCAAAACACGAAACACGTCCGTCTGATATTTACTGCCCCCGTGTTATGACGTCAACATGTAGTTCCGAGTGCGCATCGAATAAAATCATTACAACCTGAACCTGAATAATAAAAGCTTTAATAAGTGTATAAACGCAGTACACGTAGCAAGTTTTTCTTTTTGGTAATTATATAATAAATAAAAAGAAAACAAATATAGAATAGAAAAAGAATAGAGAAAGCTAGTGTTAGAGGCCTTTTTTTTTTAGAACAGAAAACAAGCAGTTAGAAAACAAACAGAGCAAGTCTTAAAGGGTAAAGTATTTTTTATTTAATAAAAAAGGAAACAAATAGATAAAATAGAATTAGAACAGAGCGTGCTAGAGGTAGAGGGTCATATAAAGACGGAGTGTTTATTATTATTATTACTTGGCAAGTTCAAAAGTCTTTTATTTTGCCACTCCGATCCGCTGTCGCGTTGTTACGTCATATATTCTGCGCCGCGACGTTTTCGTTCTGCTGTTATTTGGTTGATGTGTTGTTTGTGTTTTGAGCCCTTAAGCAGTGTATAAAACGCTCAAAATGTGTGACCGTTATTTCTCTGAGCAAAGCGCATCTTAGGAACAGAGTTATTCACTCATCCCTTGTTTCTGGTGACTATATCTTAAAAGGCGACAAAGAAAAGTCTCCAGGCAAGCTCTGACATAACTGCTGTGAAGATGGAGTTAATTAAAGTGGAGATTGTGGACATGAGTGATCCAGAACCCTGCGAAGTGAAAGATGAAGATACTGAGGAACAGACAGGTTGGTGTCCATTTATGATTCTTAGTGATTAATGAGAAACATTAAAGTAAGGTTGTTGCATTTATGAGCTGATTTGATCCAAAGCAAGGTAGATTTCATTTGAGGTGCATGCTTTATCTGTTTAGGTACTCTCTGAGAACTGAATCATGACCTGGTCATTGCTATGTTGTGCTGAACTAAAGAAATACAGTAATAAAGTTTAAGCACATTTTCCAGACTTGAAAATCATAAAAGATGCATAATTAAACATTCTGATTCTAACAGAGAAATTGACTAAATCTAAATGGCCTTAACATTGCAAATAAGTAGTGTTAACATGAAACATAGTTTGTTAACAGAAGACGCTTTAAAATTTAATACACATGCCCTCGATTTTAACATTTTAAATGTATCAGTTGAAATTAACACACTGTAACAAGGAAAAATACTTCTACAGCTTTCATTAATCTCAATGTTACAAATTAAAAAATTATTGCAACGTGTTACCGTTTCATTTCAACAGTCATGCTTAAAGATGGCCATCTTTTAAGTATCTACAAAAAGGCCATAGCATTGAAATTACATGCATACGGGTATTGTATTGATACTCTCACACTTTATTTGCTTCTGTTTTAGAACACTTGATGGTTGTCTAATCTAAATAACCAAATATGGCAGTCACACACAGTCTAGGAGAACTTACAGGGATCACACACACCGATGCGTCGCGTTCATCTCAACGGTGGTCTAAAACTGTTTATTTAATCACCAAACGGACATAAGTTTACTTCAAGAATGAGCAATGGGGCATAAATGAGTTTGAAGTTAGGCGTCTAAAAAAAACAAAGAGCAAACAGAAGGAGAAACGTTTTGCTGAAAAATGCACAATACACAGAAGCTGCGTCCCAATTCGTAGGCTGCATCAATCGAAGTGCGTATTTGAAGGCCGATTGCGTCATGGCGAAGGCTGCCGCAATTCGAAAGCGACTTCAAATCAGAAGGATCCTTCGCAGCCTACCCTATCCCAGAATTCATAGCGCGCCGGTGACCACGGGACTTTAATTCAAACAAAATAGCGGGTGATGGTTCTGTGGCGGCCCACGAATACACTTCTAAATGTAAGTATTGTGTTTTAAGTTACTCAAATAGCTAGCGAAACAAATGTCAAAAGTCAGGTCGTAAAGGAACACTCCACTATTGTTGAAAATAGGCTCATTTTCCAAACTCCCCTAGAGTTAAACAGTAGAGTTTTACCGTTTTCGAATCCATTCAGCCGATCTCCGGGTCTGGCGGTAGCACTTTTAGCTTAGCTTAAAGCTTTGCTGCCGTACCATGCACAGCAGCGCCTGAAAATAGACTAACTTCCGTCAACATAACCAACGTGACCACCTGCTTGCACAGGGAGCGTGCTGGGGACTATTTCCAGGCGCTGTGTAATATCATTGCGCCTGCTGCAGTCATGGTACGGCAGCAAAGTTCCTAAGGAATTATTACGTTCCTTTAAAAAATATGAAGTTAAACTAACAATACCACTGCACAGATTCATTTGTTAGGTGGTCTGAGACATAAGTTCTTGTATTTATTAAATTGAGGGCTGAATATGATAACTCCTTTACTGGGGATAAAAACTCTGCCAGTCCACAACAATAAGACAAGTAGATAAGGCTACTTAATTATTAGATAAGTCTTTCAGTTGTATTTTTATTTATATATATATATATATATATTTTTTTTTTCATTTTTAGGGCCAATTCCAATTCTATTTTATACCCCTACGCCTACCCCTTCCCCTTGTCCCTTGAAACACAGTGTCAAGGGGTAGGGGTGAAAATATTTCCCTAAGAAATGGGACACCACCACTACTATACCGTTACACGTCATCATACGTCATCTAAAGGCTGATTTATACTTCTGCGTCGGACCTACGCCTTAGCCTGACGTGCACCTCTCCAAAAATCTGAAAACTTTTGAACAGGATGAAGTTGTCCAAATTTTTCTTATTCTGTTGAAATATCTTTTTTTTTCCCATTTAGTACTGCCCTTCGGAAGCAACAGAAGATACTTGCATGTTTCCCGGAAGACAAATTGAGAACAATTTACCCTGATCTTCAAATTAAAAAATGTTCACCCCTCGAGAAAGGGGAAGGGCTAAGGGGTAGAAATGGGATTGGGCCTTATTGTACTGCTGTCATGCTAGACATGTCCACAAATGTTTTAGGCAAACTTGATGATCCAGAAATATGATATCTGGAGTATTTTGTATGCATGTCCTGCTGTGTCATTTTCTAACCTTAAGATTGCAGCCCTGTCTTAATAATTTTCATAAGTTTCATTTTCTCTTCTTTTAGGACAGTTCTGGAGAAAATGGGGCTGCTGGGAAACTTACAAATGTAATGAATGAAGTTGTTCTGTACATTACTTTTGTAATTTTAAGTTATTTGTAAATGAAGCAAAGTAATTTCTGTGCATTGTTTTATTTTTGTATTATAAGTTGAAACTTGTAAATAAAAGACAATTAGTAGTTCTGGAAATTGTTTATTTTAGCAAAGCAAGTTATAATTTGTAAATGAAAATAAAACCTTCATTAAAAGTATTATCTTTAATACTGTAAGAGTAAATTTATGTGCCCTCTAGAAGCTTGCATTCTGCAAGTGAACATCGCTTTATTGTTCATCCCATAAAGAAGCACTAAATCACTTTCACAGACTTTCACCTTAACTGTTCCCTCCTGGTGGAATGACCTGCCCAGCTCAATCCCAGCAGCTGAGTCCTTAGCCATCTTCAAGTATCGGCTAAAAACACATCTGTTCCACCTTTATTTGACCCCCTATCTCTAGTACTCTCTATTCTAATTCTATTCTTTAAAAAAAATGTCCTTTTTAGACTTGCACTCTATTCATTTACTGCTTGTTTTCTTAAAAAAAAAACTAACACTAGCTTTTCTAATCCTTTTGTATTCTATCTATTTGTTTTCTTTTTATTTATTATACAATTAACAAAAGCAAAAAAGGCCTTTTAACACTAGCTTGCTCTATTCTTTTTCTATTCTATCGGTTTTATTTTTATTTATTATATAATTTAAAAAAAAACTTGCTACGTGTACTACGTTAAGCTAACTGAGGCTTGTTATAGCACTTGCCTATCATTGCTCTTTTGTTGATGTTGATTGCTTCCATTGTCCTCATTTGTAAGTCGCTTTGGATAAAAGCGTCTGCTAAATGACTAAATGTAAATTAAAGGTGTGTATTCTGCAGAAAAAACTTTATATATGATGGTCTTGCTTTAATATTACTGCTGCACTACTGTGTACTGTATGTTGCATTTTACTTGTGAATATGTTCAAGGTTGTTACATTTGAAATACTTTATATAGGCTACTGTTGGGCAGTTCAATGTACAACAGTGCATCATATTGAAAAAGACCATGTTTTGTAGTGTTGCTGTCCTGTGAGGAAAAACAACAACAACAAAACTTGGTACTTCTCATTTGTATGTGAATACAAGGAATGCATTTCGTTACACTCCACCACTTTGTTATTTTGCAAATGAAAGGAACAAAGTTTATTGCTAGAATATTAACAAATAGTTGCTAATTACAACTGCGTCCGATATCGAAGGTTGACTGTTCTTGTTGCCTAGCAACTGTGACAGCTGCCGTTGACGAGCGGCAGTAAGTTTGTAAGTGGACTTTTTATATTCCACTGCATAAAACTAAACAGTGTTGAAAACCTGTTTAAATATGTTCACCGTGGTCCATTTATGTACATAATAATCAATAATAGAATAAACAACATAAAATCACATTTTGGTAAGATATAAGTCAACATTTAACCGCTTTATATTTTGTGTTTTTTCATGTCATTACAATGTTCAAGTAAGTCGAAACCCAATACTTATATTTAAAGTAGGGCTGTCAGTTTAACGCGTTAAATTAATTAGTTATGAAAAAAATAACGCGATTAAAATATTTTAACGCAGTTAACGCACTGGATTTTATACAACAGTTAAGTAAATAAGAAGTTAATATTGTGCTATATTTTAAACAAAATATTGTGTTTTTGTAAATTTTGCCAACGAAAATATTACCTAAAACTGTTGTGCGTCTCCAAGCAACACAGTGATATTTAGTTTCTGAATGAATCCGTGTTTTGAACGAATCGTGTGAATCAATGATTCAAAGCCCCATTAGAGCCGTTTACTGAATTCCTGAATGAATCAACCGCTTGAACGAGTCGACTCATAAAGACATTTACCGCCACCTGCTGGCTGTTTTAGTGTCTTCTTTAGAGTATCATTTCATTTATTAAAAAAATAAAATAAATAAATAATCATTAAAGGGATAGTTCACCAAAAATACATTAATAAATAAATTCTGTCATCGTTAAGACTACTCACCCTCATGTTGTTTCAAACCTGATTGATTTACTTTCTTTTGCACAACATAAAAGAAGGTATTTTGAAGACTGTTGGTAACTAAGCTGTTTAGGTCACTAGTGACTTTCATTGCATGAACAAAAAATACTGAGATGTTTCTCAAATTATCTTCTTTTATGTTCCATACTTTATGTTAGGCCATTGTAGCCTAAACATTTAACACGATAATAGCTTTAAATTATCTTTTGGGGGTATTTTCACAGCCATATTTAGTTTGTAATTAATTAATCGCAGCACCCTGTAATTAATTAGATTAAACATTTTAATCGACTGACAGCCGTAATTTAAAGTGTAATTCAGTAATTAAAAGTCAAAAACTAACAATTCAGGCTCCAGTTATTTTAATTTTCATTAACGAATAACATCTATGGCAGCTCTGTGCAGCACACAGCCTCACGTGTCAAAACAAACAGCACGAGGTGTCAGTGATTCCTCCTCTAGAGGCCGCTCTCGCTCTGTATAATGACAGCGGACGCTTCTCAGCCGCTCGAGCAACGGACGCAACCTGGAAAACTATCGGCATGGGTTTTTGCCGATAGTTCCAGCAATCAACTATCGGTGCCGATTAATCGGCAAAACTAATACATCGGTCGACCTCTAGTCAGAATTACCTTTAAGCATCACTTAAATTTAAATTTATACTTTAGTGTTTCTAGTTTCACTTTTCTTGAACTGATTTATTTTTGACTATTTAATATATTTTAATTTTAGACCAGATGGAGGTGAAAGAGGAAAGAGAAGAACCGAGTGACATCAAGGAGAACCACTTTATTGAAACGCCTGAAGATTTTAAAGTTGGAGAAGAGTCTTTAACTGAAACAACAGAAGCCACAAATTCGTTCTCCTGCCCTCAGTGTGAAAAGACCTTCACACATAAAGGAAACCTTAGGGATCACATAAAAATTCACATCGGAGAGAAGCCTTACGCGTGCCGTCTGTGTGGAAAAAGTTTCATTCACAAAGGACACCTTAACGATCACATGAGGATTCACACGGGAGAGAAGCCTTACGCGTGCCATCTATGTGGAAAGAGCTTCACGTGTAAAGGAAGCCTTAATGGTCACATGAGAATTCACACGGGAGAGAAACCGTTCACATGCCACCTGTGTGGAAGGAGTTTTACGTGTAAAGGGAGTCTTACGTGTCATGTGCGGATTCACACGGGAGAGAAGCCGTTCACTTGCCCTCAGTGTGAAAAGAGCTTCTCACATAAAGGAAGCCTTAAGTGTCACATGAGAATTCACATCGAAGAAGGGCCTTTCGCATGCAATCAGTGCGGGAAGAATTTCACACAGCAAGAATACCTTAAAACTCACATACGAATTCACACCGGAGGCAAGCCTTTCACGTGCCACCTGTGTGGAAAGGGTTTAACGTGTAAAGGAAGCCTCAAGTGTCACATGCGAATTCACACGGGAGAAAAGCCGTTCACGTGCCTTCAGTGCGGTAAGAGCTTCACAAATAAAGGAAACCTTAAGATTCATGCAAGGATTCACACGGAAGAGAGCCCTTTGACTTGCCTTCAGTGTGGAAAGTGTTTCACACATAAAGAAAACCTTAAGTGTCACATGAGAGTCCACACCGGAGAAAAGCCTTTCACTTGTCATCAGTGCGGAAAGAGCTTCGCTCGGAAAGTAATCCTTCAGAACCACATAAAAACTCACTCCGGAGAGAAGCCTTACACGTGCAACCAGTGCGGAAAGAGATTCACAGATAAAGGGTACATCAAGCGTCACATGCGAAGTCACACCGGAGAGAAGCCGTTCACATGCCCTCAATGCGGAAAGAGTTTCACGCATAAAGGAAACCTTAAAATTCACATCAGAATTCACACCGGAGAGAAACCCTCCAAGTGTCCTCAGTGCGGAAAGAGCTTCACACATAAAGGACAGCTTAAGGATCACATGAGAATCCACACCGGAGAAAAGCCCTACACGTGTCCTCAGTGCGGAAAGAGCTTCAAATGTAAAGGACACCTCAAGACGCACATAAGAACTCACACCGGAGAGAAGCCTTACTCGTGCCGCGAGTGCGGCAAGAGCTTCACAGTTCAGAGAAGCCTAAACATGCACATGAAATATCATTCAGGAGAGAAATTGCATGAGTGCTCTGAGTGCGGCAAGAGGTTTGCAGAGAGCAACACCTTCAAAACGCATTTGCTCATTCACTCTGAAGAACGGCCGTTTAGTTGCGATCAGTGCGGGAAAAAGTTTATTCTTGCGGCGCGATTAAAAGCACACCTGAAGCTTCATACGCATGAGAGACCCTACTTATGCTCTTTGTGCGGAGAGAGTTTCAAACTGCTCGGCAGCTTAAAATCGCACCAGAAAATACACGCCAGTGAGAAATCGCACGTGTGTCCTGAGTGCGGTAAGGCTTTTACCAGAGCGACATACTTGAAACGGCACCAGCGAACCCACTCTGGAGAAACCCCTGGGAAGGGTTCATTAGTTCAAGAACCCTAAAACCACAAGAATGCATACTGGAGAGAAGCCAAGCCGAGGATTTTCAGTGTAGCTCGACCCGACTGTGTGACCCTACATTGGACAAATGGTTTGGAAAATGGATTTTAAGCACATCGATTTATCTACTGCTTCACATTATCCAGAGTAGAGCAATGCAAAGTTTGTCTTCGGTAATGAGTCAATAGTGTGAGATTCAGGTAAAGTAGAATTTCACCCAAAATCTAAGAGGGGTTAAATAACCTAATGGCTCTTCAAACAAATATAAGGCAAGTCAAAATACTAGCTAAACATGCCATTTATGCCACTAAGACTGTACAGTTTGGCTAAAGAAAAACATGTTGTGATTTTGACACACGATAAATATTTAACATTCCATATTGTTGCTGCTTTAGTAAAATATAAAAATGAAAAAAACAGTTCTCATGTTGAAAAGTACTAAAACTGACAAGAAATTCTTGTTGATGCCTATAATTAAAGGGATAGTTCATCCAATAATGGAAATAACATTTGCTGTTAATTTAGGTACTCCCAGCCCTTCCAAGATTAAGGTGATTTTTTTTCTTCAGTAAACAGTAAAAACTATTTTTTTAGCTAAAACCGTGGTTTTTGGTGATTCATAAAATATAAGTCAACGGCTATCATCACTTGGAGAGTGAAAAAGCATATCAAGGAGCACAAAATGAATAGCCGTGGTTCCTGATGATATATTGAGGTCTTATGAAGCAAAACGATGAATCTGTGCAAGAAACTGAACATTGTTTACAACATTATTACCTGTAATCCAGAGCCCGGAGTGATTCAGTTTACAAACGATTCGTTCTTTTGAACTGGTTCTTCTTAATGAACTCAATGAACAAGTTCAACAAATCGGACTGAACTGTCTGAAACAGTTCGTGGCTCAAGTAGCACAGATCTGCAAGGTACTAAACCAATACTAAAATTTGTATGATTTCTCATTGTTTATGTAAAAAGGTGAGTTGATTAAGTTTAACTAACAAAATCTTCTTTACTGTAAAAAGTCACTACATTTGGGATTGCCTGAGAGTGAGTAAATTAACAGCAGATTTTAATTTATGGGGAACTATCCATTTAATGCTTTTCCATGCTTTGCTCGCAAATTGAAAAACCAAGCTTCTCATTAAATCTGCACATACTTGAGTTTTCTCTTTTAAACGTGTTGAGTGAAAAAGAAACCCAGTTCTCTTTGTAATCACATTGCCTTAGCTGAAGGCAGCATATATTCCCTCCTTTGTAGATATGTTTGTATTGCATGTCTTAGCCCTTTAGTAAAACAATTGTCTCTTGTATGCCTGTATGATTGCTGAATGACAATAAAGTTAATCTTGGCTCATGTCATTGGCATGCTTTACTTTGAGGTCCTTTTTATACTAATTAGTTATAATTTCACATATTTAGCCAGCTGGCTATTATACAGCTCTTATTGTATACTATTATTATACATTTTGTTATAAAATGTTGTGATACTATTACTATAAAACGTGCTTTAAGTAGACAATGTTACATTCATGATTAATGCAAATCTTTACTAAAAATGTCAGAATTGATCTGTAGTTGTTAATGTTTGAAATAGCTCGAGGGATTATCGAGCTCATTGTTTTCAGTCAAGTTTATGGCAAACGTTGCACTCACTATTGCTAACATATCGTCTGTATTTTCTGATTTTATCATATGGGGAATTTTATACAGTAAATTCTGTTCATCAGAGCATGTTGTAATTTCACGGACATATGACGTTGCAGTTACTTCGCCAATAAGTCCATAAGAAATTGCCAAAATATTACAACCATAAGATGTCGTTTTATTTTATTTGTGATTTTAAGACCTTTAAATGGTCTTTTATTTTGCCTCTCGACTAGCTGTCGCGTCGGGGTGACGTCATAACGCCAGCACCGGAAGTAACTGGTTTGTTTTGATCCGTTCGGGATTTAAGGCGCATTCAACTTTTAGCACGATTCAGAGTTGTTTAAACAAATATATTATATCCCGACAGCATGGTAGTATCACAGATGTTTCTTTGGTAATAAGAAATGAACGTTCAACGGAATACCGCAGTGATTTGTTTGCCGATAGTTTATCTCTCGTAAATGGCGCCAAAATACATTAGTGTTATTTTCGCCTCAACACACGAGGAGCAGTAGTGCTTTACTTAGCCTTTCTGTTCCTTTCTACTGGTTTTCCTCCTCAAAAGCTTCTAGACAAGCAGCAGAACCCCACAGGAACAGCTGTGATAGTTTACATGGATGTAAAGATGGGGTTTATTAAAGAGGAGCCCGAGGACGCGAGTGACCCAGAGCCCTGCAGAGTGAAAGATGAAGAAACTGAGGAGCTAATAGGTTGGTGCTCAGTCATTATTGTTCAGTGACGTCACAGTGCTTTATATATGCCCAGGTGAAAATAAAGTGTACTTGAATGCTCTAAAACATACTTAAATACAAGCGTTTGTAGTACATTCTTATGTTTTGTGCTAAATAACATTTTAGAAGTTGTACACTATAAATACGTTAAGTATATTTCTACTTCAGTGCAATTGCAAAGGTATACTAAATACCCCTGACATTTAAATTGATTTTAGTGCATTGAAATAAAGTACGCTACCGCAAAAACATAGAGGACTTTTATTAGTGTATTTCTTAAAAGTGCGCTTTGAATGATTTAAAAAATGTGTTAAATGTTACTACATTTTTATATAGTTATCCTAAGTTTAAATTATATTGACTGTATTTAAAATATACTAGTAATGTTATAGTTACTGTGCTACTTAAGTACACTTAATTAACACTAACACTAAATTGATTTGAAGCGTACTATAGTCAGATTAAGTACTATAAGTGTTTTATAATTGCATTGCTTAAAAGTGAGTTACGATTACTTTACATAAAATTTTAGTGGAATTTTATATATACTATCACTATGGATTTTCATGAAAAATCCTGTAGAAATGTGTTACGCAAGTAAAAACCCTGTACCTAGGTGAAGAAAGTGTAGTAAAATACACATTATTTCAGTACACTTCCATAATGTACTTAAAGCGCTCTATGCACTAATCTTGTACTTAATATACAAAAAATTATTCTTTATTACATCTTAAGATCATCTAAGTGTACTCAACTGTGCTGTTTTGGGACACCATGAATATGAAATAAAATAGTTTCTCTGTAAAAAAAAAAAAAAAAAAAGTATCATGTATAGCACAGCTGAGTACACTTAGATATTCTTAAGATTATCTATAGAAGTACTAAAGAATAATTTTTAGTATATATTATACAAATTTAGTGTGTGAAAATTGAGCACTTTGAGTACATTATGGAAGTGCACTAAGTGTACTGCAATAAAGTGTTTTTTTTCACCTGTGAATGCATTTTAGAGACGCTTTTATCCAAATAAGCGACATGCATTGCATCAAATTAGAGGAAAAACTGCAACAAAGCTTTAGCCTTTTTGCCACTTTTGACGACTTCTTATAGTGTTTCTCAAATTCAGTTTCCACTTTTCATTTAGAATATCTGGTTACAGTTCTAATACATCTTTATACATCTATAGACTCGTGTTTACAGTACGGGGTGTAAATTCAACATGGCTAAATGTTTTAAAACAGCAGTCCTCCATTATCACTGTCTTAATGCATTATTTTCAGTGTCAGAACCTTTAAAATTATATTTAGCACATTGCGTTCATATCCTGGTCACATCTGCTTTCCTGTATATATTAAGGATATGCCGGTATCAATTTTTCATGTTGCGAATAATTGCTAATGCTTTTTATCACGGTATACGGTATTATCACAATGTTGAAATTTAGTTGCAAAAAAGTATTGTCATAAAACAGTTAACAGGTTTAATAACTTTTTGAACATTTAAATGCAATAAAGCAATACACAAAATGTATAAAGTTACAAATTTTACACAGATTACAGTGCAAAAGAATTATAAAGATCAATAAGTATCACTTTACAATAAAATCTAACCTTAGTTAATGCATTAACATTCATAATGAGCAATAGCTACATTTGCTACAGAAGTTATTAATCTTTGTTAAAAATAAAAATACAAGTCTCGGTTCATGTTAGCTCATTAACACAGTTGCAACTTTTGATTTTAACAACGTGTTATTAAATATTAGATTTACCTAAGATTAATTAATGTTCAGAATAATTTTTATTGGCGGTTTGTTAACTAATGAAGCCTTAATGTAAAGTGTGACCGAACAATAACGAATCAAAACACTTTCAAACAATATCTAGGGCATGTTGTAGACTAGTCTGGATTAAAATGTAACAAAGTTTGAAAGTAAATGGCCTATTAAGTCTAAATATTTAAGTATTTGGCGCTGTGATGAGCACCATAACGAATGCAAAAATCTGAATGGCTGTTTAAATGATTTAAACATGTTTCAGAAACAGAAAGCAGGGCAGGCACACACTGGTCAAGTGAAAGATTCTTTTTTTCTTTATTAATTGATAAAAAACTACAAGCTCTATGTCGATCATCTATTATGTTTTAGTTGTGGTATCGGTTCAGTAGTAGTATTAAGATATTTTAGTCAGGTATCGTGTCAAAGTTTTGGTATTGTGACAACACTAGCGGTATTTAAATTTGTTATATTTTAATAACCTTAGCTATTTCAAGCAAAAATTATCATAATATATATTGTTATTGTGAGATTAAATGACTCGTCCAGCTCTACTAACCATTTAATCAAAATGTGATGTATGTCGCTAAACGTCCTTAAAGGGACAGTTCACCCAAAAATGAAACTTCTGGCAACCCACCAGCTGGCGGTCGCCTTTGACTTCCATAGTATTATTATTTTTCCATACTATGGAAGTCAATGGCTACCATCAACTGTTTGGTTACCAACTTTCTTCAAAATACTTTCTTTTGTGCTCAACAGAAGAAAGAAACTCCTACAGTTTTGGAATAACATAAGGGTGAGTAAATGATAACAGAATAGTAATTTTTTGGGTGAACTGTACCTTTAAGACGATGCTTAAATAGACTTGGTGCCTAGGAGGTACTTGAGCGCTTTGATTGAAGGTAGTGCAAAGTTTGAGTACCACTTTCTTGTTTCACCAAAAGTTTTTAATAATTGAATGTTAATTGCAGGCCTGACGGAAGTGAAAGAGGAGAGTCAAGTCCTGAATAAAGTTGAAGACAACCGCTATTTTCAGACACTTGAAACTGAACCAAACTCTCAGCCTGCAAAGCTCTCTCAAAAACGACACGTTAAAAATCGTGCCAGAAAGAAGCCTTTAACATGCGTTCATTGCGGAAAGAGTTTCAGTCATAAAGGACACCTTAATATTCACACGAGGAGTCACACTGGAGAGAAGCCGTTTGCGTGTGATCAGTGTGGAAAGAGGTTTATTCATCGAGGACATCTTAACGAACACTTAAGGATTCACACCGGAGAGAAGCCTTTCGCATGCACTCACTGTGGAAAGTGTTTCACACATAAAGCAAGCCTGACATGGCACATGAGAACTCACTCTAAAGAAAGCCCTTTAACTTGCTGTCAGTGTGGAAAAGGTTTCACACAGCAAGAAAAACTCAAGTGTCACATGAAAATACACACTAAAAAGAATCCGTTTACATGCCCTCAGTGTGGAAAGAGTTTCGTTCATAAAGGACACCTTAATGATCACTTACGAGTTCACACTGGCGAAAAACCGTTCACATGTCATCTGTGTGGAAAGAGTTACCGACTTAAAGGATACTTTAATGTTCACCTGAGAATCCACTCTGGAGAGAAGCCGTATGCGTGTGATCAGTGTGGGAAGAGCTTCATTAATAAAGGACACCTTAATGAACACTCAAGAGTTCACACTGGAGAAAAGCCTTTCGAATGCACTCCCTGTGGACAGAGTTTCACACATAAAGGAAGCCTAAGGTTGCACATTAAAAAGTATCACACTGAAGATGATACATGCCTTAAGCGTCACGCGACCGGCCTAAAATGCCCTCAATGTGAAAAGGGTTTCAAACATAAAGGACACTTTATGAATCATATAAGAACTCACATAGCCTTGAGCCTAAAGACACACTTAAAATGACTCGAAATTAAGCATAAATAAACCCTTTGAACTGCACATGAATGCATAACCTGTCTGGTTTGGCTTGCTAATAAGACAAATATATAAAGGCACATTTTTTTACGAAGGTTTATGGAATGCTTTCTGTAAAGCTGCACTGAAACAATGTACATTGTTTTTGGTATATAAGTGAATCATATGAATAAAACGGGTGACAGATACATCTTTTTCTCTTTGCGTTTAAACTCTTTTTGTTGCTGGGCTGCCAACAGGTTAAAATGATATTAACAGATTAACAGGGTTTTTGTACTGTAGTTAATGCATCCACAGTAGAAAACTATCGGTTTGTTTTAAGAGAAAAATCTGTATGCAGGAGTTGTGTGCATGAAACAATTAGTTTTCAATTACACGTTTAGTAAATTATGTGCGTTCACATTTTTGACTGCTTGGTCCAAATGATTAGATTGCTGTCCTCGAGCCGCTGGATTCCACCGATATTTGGCATTTATTTTTCTCTAGTAATTTGTTACACAGAAAAGTGTCAAAGCATTTTCTTTTTTATTGTTATTAAAGGAATAGTTTAATGGCGGTAGCCAATGCCATTGTCTTCAATAGTTTAGTTACCAACATTATTCAAAATACACTGCTCAAAAAAATTAAAGGAACACTATGAAAACTCATCAGATCTCAATGGGGGAAAATATCATGCTGGATATCTACACTGGTATGGACTGGCTAATGTGTTAGGAACGATGAAAATAGTCAACCTACAGAGGGCTGAATTCAAAGACACCCCAAAAATCAAAGTGAAAAAATGATGCAGCAAGCTAGTCCATTTTGCTGAAATTTCATTGCAGCAACTCAAAATGGTACTCCGTAGTTTGTATGGCCCCCATGTGCTTGTATGCATGCCTGACAACTTCGGGGCATGCTCCTAATGAGACCACGGATGGTGTCCTGGGATATATCCTCCCAGATCTGGACCAGGGCATCGCTGAGCTCCTGGATAGTCGTTGGCGGACTGTTGGATGGACCGAAACACAAGAGGTGTCCCAGAGGTGTTCTATTGGATTTAGGTCAGGTGAGTGTGGGAGTCATTCAGTAGTATCAATTCCTTCATCCTCCAGGAACTGCCTGCATACTCTCTCCACATGAGGCCAGGCATTGAACCCAGGACCCACTGCACCAGCGCAGGTTCTGACAATAGGGCCTTTCGCACCGCGGGAACCTTTTAATAGTACCAGAACTAATTGTGGAACTACCCACTTTTTGGCGTTTTCGCACCGCCGGAACTGGGTGCGGTTTTAGTACCGGACTGCCTTTTTCGAGAGCAGGGTCCTCCTACTCCGGAGCAGGGTCTAACCAGCACAACTGGTACTAATTGTGACGTAAGTAGACATTGATTGGCCAAACACGTACGAAAACGCCCTCACCCGCCATGATTTAAAACGCTGTGTAAACATACTGTAAACATTGTGTCAATTGTTCTTCTTTGTTTCTGTTGTTGAACGCCGCGCACAAATGACGTCGCTGTCGACCGGCTTACGTCACTTCTTAGTACACACTGTCAGTGCGAATGCAACCCTTTAAATGGTACTGGGAAATAGTTTGCGCAAAATCGTCCCAGTACTTTAGTACTGTACATTTAGTTCTGGAACTAAAGCGGTGCGAAAGGCCCTCATGGGTCCAAGTATTTCATCCCGATACCTAATAGCAGTCAGGGTGCCATTGTCTAGCCCAGTGGTTCTCAATCCGTGCCCCGTCACGGATTCAAATGCGGCCCGCTGAACACAATTTAAAAAATAACTTTCAGTTTTACAATTCATTTTAGTTTTTACATAAATTTAAAAATGTGCTAAACAAATATAAGCTATAATAATTTTGTTTTTCATATATTATTTTCAGACATGAGCAGACCTGCTACTCACGTAATTAACGTTACTCATTTAACGAACACTTACAAGCGCGCGCTTCAATTCAAATAGTCATCAGCAGCCATTAGTTCGGTAAAATTGAGTATCAATCGCAACTTCATTGTGCTGTGTTACTCCTTTCGAGCCGAATTTCACAAAATTGGTCCGCTCCCGACAGCATCAGGTGTTTTATTAATGGGGAGTAGAATTATTTATTTCAATGAATGTAATCGATTAGATATCATAATATTTAGGTTGGTTTGACATGCGGCCCGTGAGACTTGCACGTGGACCATAGTGCGGCCCAGTGGAAATAAAGGTTGAGAACCACTAAGTAGTCGTCGTCTTCGCTGTCGTCTTTCAGATTCATTACGGAGTATGAATAGGTACGACAAAGTAAAAGCTGCGAGAAGCAGCTGAGGCTCAGCCATTTTTATATTTTGTTTTACCTCAGGAGTGTTGCGCGTAAAGAAAGCTCCAGGAGATGAGACCTCTATACATGGATTAAAAACACATGTACACTTAGTTCAACAAATAAAAGTTAATTTTCTTATTGCATGACAACAGAGCTTCAGATCTGCTACTAATCAATTAATAGTTTCAATTGGCAATTAAATATATAAGCACATAATAAACATATACAATTTAATTTATAAAACAGGTAATGCTTGTTTTGTATATCTATAGTATAAATATTTTAAATTTGATAGTATAGTCATTTACAATATTTATTTACGTTATATCGTAATCTGCGTGACCCTGCCGTTGGTTCTGTTTGATGAGGTTGCAGGGCGTTCCGAATGAGCGATTATTGTCAGCGAAGTCCACTTCAACGGATATCACGTGCTTAGGGAGCAGTGCACACTGCATAGGGACCGACCCCGTCAATGGGAACGCTCCTTTAGAAACGAAACCGTTAGATTGACGTCTTTTATTTTGCCGTGCGGAGCCGCTCTGACGTCATTACGCAGGCGCCGCGACTCCTCCCTTTATGGTTCTCGTTGGACAAAGGTTTTTGTTTCGAGATATTCAGCGTTTAACGTGTGTAAAACGTCCATTTTTGTGGAGTTATTTTCAAGTAATGCATTCCACATGGTACTAATTTTGCGTTGGTTGTTAATGTAAAATGAATGTATTCAGCGTGATAATGTAATGCTTTGTGTGCCGATAGTAAATGTGCGCGTTATTAACGCGCGAGGAACAGAGTGATTTACTTTGCTCTTTATTTCTTTCTACAGAAGTCTTTGAGAAAAGTAGAAGATAAATCTTCGTGTCATGGAGTTTATTAAAGACGAGCCTGAAGACTGGACTGATCCAGAGCCCTGCAGAGTGAAAGATGAAGAGATTGAGGAACAAATAGGTTGGTTTTCAAAACAATTAAATACAATGTGCTTATTATTTCTCATAATGTGTCTTAGGCCAGAAAAAGAGCAAACTACTCCAAGACTGTTTAATGCACCAGATGTAACTTGAAAGGAAACATAGTAAATGCATGTATTTGCAGGTTATTAGGAATACAGTATATATGTAAATGTCCAACGAAACAATGTTTATATTAAAGGCAGTGAGATCAAAAAAGTGAATGTAAACATGTAGACTATTATATATATTATGTGCAAAAAATGGTTAAAATCACATTACATTCTAACATTGTACGATTGCAATCTAAAAACAAAAGTAATGCATTTTAAAGCAGAAGATAAATTCACTAAACTGAAAATAAAATTTAATAAATTAAAACAAAAGCACAGGCTAATTGTATTAGGCTATTTTGATTTCCCCATTACAGTCACTTTATGGTTAATGCTATCATAAAAATACACTTGCAGGTTTAAAATTCTACACATGGCACATTTATTATGCACGTACAAATATTTCAGGAAAACGTATATTTTAGTCACAATTATTGCAATCTTTTTCTATTGCACTCTGTCTGTTGCGCATTTGTGTGCGATAGAAATCTGTGAAGTTTAGCAGAGAATTGCATGCAGAAAGGCTCATGCACTCCTGACAGCAAAATAGAAATATTTCTATGACTTTCTAATAGGGTTGGGCAATATGAGCAATATTTTATATCACGATATGAGTAATTTTATTTCATGGTAACAATATATATCACAATATAGTTATTTTTGCTTTAAATAAGGATATCAAAAATTGTTATACCATAGAAATGTCATAATTCTTGTCACCAGTGTCAATATCACAAAAAAACTAATGCTAGCCTAAATTTAAAAAACAAAACAAAAAATTCTCAAGCTTTCTGAAGACAAGTAAACAGTCAGCGATTACATAAGAATACTAATTACAAGCTATAGGACAAAAAAACTACAGTAGAACAAATTAAAAAGATATGATACATACATTGTATAAAGTAATCAAATGTATAAAAACACTGCATATTCTTGAATGTGTAAATATATTTTTTCTTATTAAAATTACAAAAGTGATTTAGCCAAGAGCAGTGAGAGGATTTCTCTTTAGTTGTTTGATTAACATAAACGACAGACGGCAGGAATATTAGACTGCTGTCACTTTAAGAGCTTCCCGGTAGCTCTTAAAGTGACAGCAGTCTAATATTCCTGAAAGAGCTTTCTTTCTCAGCTGTTTGCTTTCAGCCACATCTCAAACACATTAAACAGCGCAAGGCTATCTGTCAGCAGCACATGTATCTTTCAGAGCAGCTGCTTCAAACTACACATGATAACTATATCTTACGAGTGATTTTTAAGCCCTTAATATAAGCATGACTCATGTTTAGGACAAACTGGATTATGCACTTGCCCCGCAGCAGCTCACTCTGTCCTCTGCTATTTTTCAGATGTGCTCGCATCAATATAAACATTGCCTCATACCAAACGGCTTATAAAAATGTATCAATATTGTACAAACTCAATATACTGCCCAGCCCTAGTTTAAATATTTATAGCCTATTTCAACAATGAATTGGAGCGACATAATTAGCACAATCTAAATTGTTTATATTTAAGTGTTGGTTATTATATCTAAAATAATAATAATAACAACCAAACATTTTCCGTCAGAACAGAAAAGAAAAAAAATCATCAAATACACAAACTCAAAGGTCTTCACGGCAACCCTTCAAAATAAAAGTTTGGTAAAACTAAGAAATTATGACAAATATATTATCTCTTAAATTAATAATAATAAGAAAAAATATATTGATTCACAAAAGTAAAAATAATATTAATTATTATTATTAAGCAATATGAGATTATTCATTCATATTATCAGATTATTCATTCATATTTTAATTTATGCAGCATACTAATTATGTTGTACAGCACCTTATTGGACAAAAATATATAAAATGAAATTTCATTTGTTTACATTTTGCTTGATTTTTTTTACATTTGTTTTATGAATTCATTAGACACCATTTTTGATGCTGAATTTGCATCATCATAAAACACAGAATCCAGAATAAAATAAAATGGAAAACACAGAATTTGTGAAAAAATAATACTGATTTCATTGGTGCCCTAAATTAAAAAAGATATGAAAGTCATGCTTGCATTCATAAACTGAACTACAAAACACATTAGTCAATTAATGAATTACATTTATTTTACACTGCAGTTGTACTGTAATAGTAATATATTACTGTCTTAAGGGATAATAATAATAAATTAGTATTAGTAGTAGTAGTAATCATTTGTATTTAGAATGTCAAACAATTTAAAACACGGGTGAACTCACAACTAAAAAGTTTGTTTACTTTATTATTTAGAGGAATTAGACAAAAGATAATATACACAGTATGCAAGACATCTTGTAAGGCACAGTAGAAATTTATATACTTAAAATTATTTAAAATGGCGCAGATACATTTTTAATTCCACCACCAGATTGAGGCATTTAAAGGGATAGTTCACCCAAAAATGAAAATTCAGTCATTAATTACTCACCCTCGTGTCGTTCCAAACCCGTAAGACCTTCGTTCATCTTCAGAACACAAATTAAGATATTTTTAGCATGCGCATGCTGAACGTAGCAGAAGAAAAATGGCAAAGACGGTAACTCAGGGAGAAGAATTGCTGAATAAATTGTTATTATTGTTTTCTTTGTGCACAAAAAGTATTCTCGTAGCTTCGTAAAATTATGGTTGAACCACTGCTTGCTACATTTCTGTGCGTTGATCGTGGTAATTACATTGCTGTCTATGGGAGGGTCAGAAAGCTCTCGGATTTCATCAAAAATATCTTAATTTGTGTTCCGAAGATGAACGAAGGTCTTACTGGTTTGAAACGACATGAGGGTGAGTAATTAATGATATAAGTTTCATTTTTGGGTGAACTATCCCTTTAACTTTAAAATTTCTTGGGGGTAGCACTGAGTGGTATGACCAGAAATCTGTTTTTTTTTTTTTTTCACAGTGTATCATTTCTCTAGTGGCTTACAAATATTAACTAAAAACTGTGATAATCAAATCAATTTATAAAACAGTTTAGTTAATTAAAGGAATGCATTTTAAAAGATACATTTTTTGGCATGTTTATTAAATATTGTGATTTGATTTATTGTCCATATTACTAATTTGACAGAAAAAAAAAATACAATTTGAAAATGTATCTAAAATGACCATAGCATCAGTACTGAAGAACTGATGGTGTTGATAATGACTGAATGAACGCATTGCACACTAAACATAAAACAAACACACAGTTACTTGGTGTCTTTTACTATCTATTTTTATTTGGGCTTGACGTTTTGACATTTTTTTGGTCCCCCCTTTCTGATTTTTGTCAATTTATTGTTATTAATTGTAGGCCTGATGGAAGTGAAAGAGGAAAGCCAAGAACTGTATGAAGTTGAGGACAACCGCTATTTCCAGACACCTGAAAATTTGATAGCTGAAGAAAAACCTTTAATTGACTATCAGTCTGAAAATCTTTCACAAGCAGGACGCCTTAAAGATCCCATTAAAAGTCATACCAGAAGGAGGCCTTTCACATGCCATCAATGCGGAAAGAGTTTTGCAAATAGAGGGCAACTTAATGTTCACAAAAAAATTCACTCTGAAGAGAGACCTTTCGCTTGCCTTCGGTGTGGAAAGAGTTTCACAAATAAAGAAAACCTTAAGTGTCACATGAAAACCCACGCTGGAGAGAAGCTTTTCTCGTGTTATGAGTGTGAAATGAGTTTCACTAGCAAACTAACTCTTCAGAATCACGTAAAAACTCACTCTGGAGAGAGGCCTTTCCCGTGCCACCAATGTGAAAAGAGCTTCGATCATAAAGGACTCCTTAATATTCACACGAGGAGTCACACTGGAGAGAAGCCCTTCGTGTGTCCTCAGTGTGGAAAGAGGTTTATTCATCGAGGACATCTTAATGATCACTTAAGGATTCACACCGGAGAGAAGCCTTTCGCATGCACTCACTGTGGAAAGTGTTTCACACATCAAGCAAGCCTCTCATGGCACATGAGAACTCACACTGAAGAAACTCTTAAGCGCTACATGAGAATGCACCCTGAAGGGAATCCTTTCAAATGCCATCAGTGTGGAAAGAGTTTCCTTCATAGAGGACACCTTAATGATCACTTAAGGGTTCACACTGGAGAGAAACCATTCACATGCCCTCACTGTGGAAGGAGTTTCAGTCATAAAGGATACTTTCATGTTCACTTAAGGATTCACACCGGAGAGAAACCGTTCGTGTGCCATCAGTGTGGAAAGAGCTTCACGCATAAAGGAAGCCTGAAGTGGCATATGAGAATCCACACTGAAGGACTTTTCACTTGCAATGAGTGTGGGAAGAGTTTCGCCTATAAAAGGAAACTTCAGATTCACAGAAGAATTCACACCGAAGAGAACCCTTTAACTTGCCTCCAGTGTGGAAAAACATTCACATGTAACAAAAAGTTTAAGTGTCACATGAAAACTCACTCTAAAGTCAATCCTTACTCATGCAATCAATGTGGAAAGCGTTTCAATCAAAGAGGACACCTGAATGAACACATGAGAACTCACACCGGAGAGAAGCCGTTCACATGCCATCTGTGTGGAAAGAGCTTCAGTCAGAAAGGAACCTTTAACATTCACCTAAGAATTCACACCGGAGAAAGGCCGTTCACGTGCCATCAGTGTGGTGAGAGATTCAGTAAGAAAGGAAACTTGAATGTTCACCTGAGATCTCACACTGCCATCAACCTTGCATGCCATCCAAGTGCGCAGAGTTTAATTCAAAAAGCGCACCTTAATGATCATATAAGAATTCACATTGTAGACAGGCCATTCACATGCCATCACTGCAAAAAGAATTTCATTCATAGAGGACACCTTAATGATCACCTGAGAATCCACACCGGAGAGAAGCCTTACGCGTGCCAACAGTGCGGAAAGCGTTTCACACATAAAGGAAGCCTTAAGTGGCACATGAGAACTCACGCTGATGAGGAGCTTTTCCAAAGCCGTCAAACCGAGAAGAAATTTACAAAAAATGCAGATGTTGAGAGTCAGAAAAGAATTCGCACCGTAGAGAAGCTTTACGCGTGCCAACAGTGTGGAAAGCGTTTCACCCATAAAGGAAGTCTTACGTGGCACATGAGAACTCACGCTGATGAGGAGCTTTTCACGTGCCACCTAAGTGAGAAGAAATGTACAAGTGATGTAGAGAGTCGCTCTGGAGAGAAGCCTTACACGTGTCCTTTGTGTGAAAAGAGTTTCAGTCGTCAAGCAATCCTTCAGAGTCATGTAGAAACTCACTTTGAAGAGAGTCCTTAAAGGTGCTGTATGTCATTTTTTGACTAAAGCATTACAATAGCGCAATATGTTTGCAGATATTTAGGAAACAATCTAATTCACGTACTTGTTTCTCTGAAAAAAAACAATGCTATGGCCAATATTACATACTGCATCTTTAAACATGCCCTCAATTTAGAAAGAAACCCCTTCGAACTACTCCTAACCTTAGAAGAAACCAGGCAATTTTTCTTTACTACTATCACCTTATGAAGGACTTGCTCTTGGCTTGCTCACTGTGGGTATAATAACGAATAACATTTTTCATGAAGCTGTAAATGGAACTGCTCAGTGGTGACCTATGGTAGATATTTCTTCAGCATTTTCTGTAAAGCTTTGAAGCAGTGTACACTACCATTATATATGAAAAGCTCTGTAAATCAAGCTGACTTGGCTTACACATTTTTCTTGCATTAAATACCTTTTATTAAATAACGGTATAGGATTTAACTTGTACTTTGAAACACATTTTCAGAGATGTGCAAACCCCCAAAATGCTGTTGTCATGTAAATTAATGGCCAAACACATAAAAAGTTTTCAGGTTTAGTTAAAACTGCATTGTGTGAACGGCCCCTTTCTTAAGCCTCGTTCAGACTGTCAGCCCAAATCCGATTGAAATCCGATCATATTTAGATAGTCTGAACGACAACAAACTACATGAAATCCGATTTGTGCAAATCCGTTTCGAGCTATATTCATATGTGGTTTGGAATCCTATTCAAATCGCATTTCTGGAAATCCGTTTCAGTCTGACCGGTCAGATCGGATTTAGCATAGCTTTTTCACGTCCTCACGCCACGTAAAATGTAAACACGTCAGACATTTTTTGTAGAAAACATGCCGAACGTCTTTGCAGAAACAAGCTTGTGTCGTTGTGAAGTGCAAGTCAAGCGGAAAAAGACAGTATACTGCTAGTATACGTACCTCTTTGAGTTTTGAAAGTAGCGGAGACAGCAGCACTGAGTAAAGCCGCACATTCCAGCTTTCTGCGATTCTGATGCTGCCTCGTATTCTGTAAAACGAAAGACCGCTTATGGACACACAAATCAGATATGAACAGTTGCATACACTGTGTGGACAGTCAGTTATTAAATCGGATTCGAATCCGGATATGCACAAAATCGGATTTGGGCTGACAGTCTGAACGAGGCTTTAGTGTTTTTGTTCCTATGGTTACCAATTATGATGACCTGTCTTCTCATTATCCTGTGTGCATTTAAGCCCTCTGTTTAGTTCAGTCCATTGTCCTGTATTGTCATTTCTAATTCTTGTAAAGCTGTAACTTCTCTCCTGTGCCTTAGTTTGAGTAAATGTTTGATTACCTTCTTTATTTGTTTATAATTAAGTTAAATGGCTGACATTGAGATCCATCTCTCTTTCTCATGTTCCTTCGCCTGCCTTACCATAACAGAACAGAGGATCTAGAGAAGATGCATGGCACTTCCAGCCGTTTGCCACCTCCTCACTTGGGATAGTCACTCCCTCGAGGACCACACCAGTGAGTTCCCGGAACATAGCATATCATTATTTTTGGACTGGACTTAATGATCCCCTGTCTGTTAATGGTCCTCAAGGGAAGTTTAAGGATTTTGTTGAACTAGTGCTCACAAGGAGTGGACGATGATTGCCACTTGCACACCACAGACACTGAGCCTGAGCAATTGCCTGCCTCAAACCCTGAGCCTACACCCATCACGAACGCAAAACCAGAGCCCACACCTGCATAGGACCTCCTACCAGCAGAGAGTTTGACCTTAAAAGCTAGTACCTGCAGCCGAGTTCATCCTGGAGCCTGAGCCAGATGAGAAAGACAAGTCTGTCCCAGAGTTAGAGCCATGTCCCAGAAAGGAGTATCGATATCCTGGAGCAGAGTACCAACATATCCCCCCAGCCATCCTAGTTAATGTAATGGATTTGCTGGACCCCCCTCCCATTGATGCAGCACGGTCTCCTGACTCCTTTGTCTTCGCCAGATCCATCTCCTGGCTTAGCTGGCTCTATCTGGTTCTCTGACTCCACCTGGTTAGCCTCGGCATTTAAACCGTTTTATTCTAGCTTCATGCATTCTTTTTTTATCAACACTTAGATGTGGGTAAGTTTCATAAAAAAGCAATGTTTTGAACAAAAAGCTGAGATTGTGATGTTTTTGTCAAAAACTATATCTAGATGCAATTCAGAACAATGATCAGAACATACTGTAGATGGAGTAGATTGCCTCCATCAACACCCACAAAGCTTCAGAGTCCTGAACCAATTCCTGGGTCGACATTTCATCCGGTAGCATAACGCAGTTTGATTTATATGCTGTTAAATGTCTGATGATCACGCTTCTTTTTCTTTTGTTCGTTCTTAAGTGATTTAAAAACAATATTTTTATCATCTTTTGAATGTCTGTTACTATTGTGTATGAGATGTGCAACATAATTAACCATGCCTAATTTCATACTAACGCTAGTCCATAATTCAACATGAACAAAATACATCCCTTCAAACATTGTGGTATTGCAAAGTCATACAAGTTTATTGAGCTAATGTTTTGACTTTTTTGGGGGGAAAATTCCACATTTTGGTGCATCTTATTTTTTTATTTAACTCTTTCCACATTCGTGGCAAGTTAAAGAATTTTTAGAGCTTGTTTTCTGAATTCTTTTTACTGAGAGATTATTTTCGGTCTCTGCAATGAAAGAAGTTTTCTCCACTTGTGAAACCATGATGTTTCTCCTCCACTTCATTTGGTTCTTGGCTTTCCTCTTTCTGCAGCAATATAAATATATTGAAATGTCACATCAAGAAAAACTGAGCTCATCGATCAACTTTAATTAGGTCAATCATATGACTCAATTCCTCATCTAATGTCAGTTTATATGACCATAAACATTTTCAAGAATATTATTAATTTCTTCAGAGGAAAAACTGTGTAATGGGAATAGAAACCAACCTATTTTCTCCTCAGTATCTTCATCTTTCACTCGGCACGGATCTGGAATTCCCATTTCTTCATTCTCTTCTTTAATAAACTCCATGTTTGTAATATTATGTCACACTGATCTCAGTTGTTCCACCTTGAGTTTTTCTATTTGTTAGCATGCTTCGCCATGTTTAGGATGATGAGAATAATGAACTGAAAAAATAAACACACAGTGAGTTTTTCTGAAACTTGTGTAGATGCGCTTTACACATCGTTTATACACATTAATGTGGCGCCATTCACATAAAACATTACATTCAAGAGATTTACATTCAACATTACAAATGTGTGCATATTTATAAAGACAAATGTATAAAGAAATAATAAATACATCAATGTTATTTTCAGATAAAGTACTGCATAGAGATACAGTATAATGCAAATAGTGAACTCAGTGAAAAATGTAAATGATTAAATATGGCTAATTTCCACCGAGTTCAGTACAGTACACTGATCTGCATGACATTGTGTGTATAAAATACAATGTTATTTTTTTGTGTTTGCGCACTCTGTACCAGAATGACGGGAAGAAAAGAGTCTGGAGAAGGCTTGGAGCAGCTCATGATCAAAGCACACACATCATCTGTGAAACACGGAGCAGTGTGATGCATGAGCGTGCATGGCTTCAGTGGCTCTGGGTTACTGGTGTTTAGTGATGATGAGACAGAAGACAGAAGCAGTCGGGTGAACTCTGAAGTGTATAGAGATATACTCTCTGCCCAGATTCAGTCAAATGCAGCAAAGCTGATTGAGCGGTGCTCCATAGTACAAATGGACGATGACCCAAAACACAGCAAAAGCAACCCAGGAGTTTTTAAAAGTGGAATATTCTGCAATGGCTGAGTCAATCTCCTGATCTCAACCCGACTGAGCTGCATTTCACTCGCTGAAGACCAAACTAAAGGCAGAAAACCCCCAAAACACAACAACTGAAGTCAGCTGCAGTAAAGGCCTGGCGAAGCATCACAAAGGAGAAACCCAGTCTCTGCTGATGTCCTTGAGTTCCAGACTTAAGGCAGTCATTGCCTGCAAAGGATTCTCAACAAAATATAAAAAATGAACATTTTATTTATGATTATATTTATTTGTCCAATTACATTTGAGCCCCTGAAAATGGGAGGACTGTGTATACAAATTGTTGTAATTCCTAAGCATTTTATGTTATATTTTTGTTCTATACCGTGAATTAAAGCTTAATTTCAAGGCCATTTTAAATCTTATTTTGAAGTACCAATGTGGTTATATCTAAGTGTGTGACTTACTTACTTTTTTAAATTAGTCTTCCCATTAACACCATTATATTGTCCATTCAGACTGATTCACAAAGAACACAAGAGGCGGGATTTATTGCTCTGGCAGGCACAGCTTAACATAACCAGTCATATCCAATCATATCACGATGGAGGCATTGCCTCCTCTGATGTGACTTTTCCCCATTCATTCTCCATTACCCCCCACCAAACTCAAAGCATGCTTTAGGGGGTCTGTTTAAACTCAATGGGCTCAGGGGAGGCGAGAGAGACGCGGACTCCCGCTGTAACTTTACCTGCTGGTGTCGCTGTTGGACAGTGTTTCTTTAAAAAAACATGTGATTTATACGCTTTTTAATGTTATATTTTGTAACACTGGTGTTTTATTTTTGTACTACAAATTCTTTTCTCATCCAATTTTTGAGAAGACACTGCCTCCCTTTAGGAAACACCCCTGAT